TGTTGTTGTTGTTGTTGTTGTTGTTGTTGTTGTTGTTGTTGTTGTTGTTGTTGTTGTTGTTGTTGTTGTTGTTGTTTATCATGTTGTTTTGATTGTTGTTTGTTTGTTCAGGACCGAGTTTGATCACAAAAGAAGGTTTTTTTGATCCTAATATTTCATCCGGTGGTGAATAATAACAACACGGTAAAAAGAACACTGCGGATTTCGTTGTACCGAATATTAAGAATAATACCACTCCACTAAAAATAATGATATAAAAAATTCTTTTTACAATTAATTGTTATTATTATTTTTTTTTTTTTTTGTAAATTTAACTCAATATTTACCTTGAAGAACAAATAAAATCGGAAACGTAATATGATTCATCACGATCCCCATCCGTTGAAAATTGTGGTTTTGTTAATATGACCGAGATAATATAAGTAGTTGTTAAACAGATATAAGATATTATATAGATGCTAGATCTAATCGCATACCCCAATCTAATTGCTGTTAAACGATTATGACATTTTTCAAAATTTTTCCAACGAAAAAATAAAACGTATAACGAATGACCTAAAAATAGACAAACAAACAAACAAACAAACAAACAAACAAAATTGAAGAATCAGTTAAAATGATGATGATTAAAGATGCTTTGGACAATTTTATATATATATATATATATGCACACACATATACTTACACACGAGAACTAATGACGCCGCCAACGATATACTAACCGCAATAAAACCCGCAATAAAAAGATCCAGCCCATCATCCAAACGAGGCTTACAATAATACCGGGTAACCATAGTACCCCGAAATCTTTTATTTCTATCCATAAAAACAATTATCAATGCGTAGGCTAACGCACCACCCCAAATAGAAATGGTGAAATACCAAAAACATGTTTTCTCGATACTCAAATCATTTTTTGATATTGCGTACCATTGATAAATTGCTAAAACTAAAGGAATTAAACATGCGGGGTATATAACGAATTGTGTCATACTCTTTTGTAGTATACAAATTAATGTTTTTGTGCTGCCGTCAAATGTTTGATCCATTAAACCATCACCATAAATTGTTATTGGAGTAATGGTAAAAATTTGAAGTAATAAGAGTACAACGCCTATTTGAAAAATTGTCCATTTCGTAAAGTAATATGGTGATTTGATTAATGAATATAATTGAAGTATTGTTGAAATCATACTTGCAACTGTTATGCTAATGAAAAGCGACGTTAAAAGTGAATATGTTGGCATTGTTGACGTGTAATTTTTATTTTAATATTTAAAAAAATTTTTTTTTTCAAAACACAAAAACTCTCCTTTTAACACAATTTATAGATAGACATTTTATTGTTCTAATGGTTTTAACGGTAATGCACCAATTAATAAAAATCTTCATTCATTAACAATTCGAACTTTTCCAATTAGGGAAAAAACCGTAAATATTATCCGAATAAAGGGTATCATCAAAAATTCAATGCATAATAATAAAAAATACAATTCAGTGCATGCATGCTATCGAAAATAAGCACGAGACAACGTATGATCTCTGTTTTCTAAACAAAATGAAAATAATTATAAAAACGACGTGCATGTATAAGTCCTTTCTTTATTTATTTTACTCTGGACAAAATTCTAGTGGTCTTAAAAGCTTTGCTACACGAGGTACAATACTTTCTATCCTATTTCTTAATATTTCATCATCGGTTGTAATCTCCTATTATTGATTGTTGTACTTTGTTGTTAATGATGATGGAAAAGGAAAATCACGCAACTAACAAAAAACAAACAAAAAAAAAGTAAACGTACCAATGTTCTAATATTAACTTCGGCGATCATATTGTCCACTTTAATAATAATCTCTTCATTTGAATCCGTTTTACTTATTGCATCACCGAATTGCTTTTTAAAATAATTTTCTGCTATTTGCAATGCTGAAATCTTTGTTGTCGTCATTTTCTCTGTTTTATCACCGTCACCTTCCGATTTGTCGGTATCCATTGCGTCGTGTTCATGATCTTCCAGTATATGAGTGTGATGCGGAGGACTTGTAACTAAAAAATTAAATTAAATATATTGTGAAACATTATTATGCCATTAAGATATATATATGTGTGTGTGTGCGTGCATATATATACCTTTTACAGAAGCAGGACTGCTCTCAATATTTAGAATAACTGCGGATACAGAGTCAGCAATTTTGTCGTTCATGGATGTTCCCAACCATTCAAGCTGCACCTGATTTTTACCAATGTGTCTAACTTTTACCGAGTCTAAGATCTTGAAAATATAAATATATATAATTATCAATTAATTAATTAATAATAAATTACAATTTATTTACGCAAAAATGTTAATAAACATACTGTTATAGTGGGAGGGGGTTCTAGACACTTTGTTTATCAGGAAAAGGCTACGCATGGTTCGGATTTTTGTTTAATAAAATAATAATAAAAAAAGATCGCTATTTTCGCTATAAAAGAACCTTCCATCAATGAAAAACCCATCTTGGAGGGCCAATTAATTAATTGCCGGGTTGTCAGAATTAAGTTCAATATTAATGTTTCAAAGCTAGTTCGACTTTTGACTTTTAGTTTTGATTTTCGCATCTTCAAAAATAGTTTTGATGACTAACACTATTTGACATACGTGTATTAGCGATTTACATAATAATGTGTGGTTGGAATTTAGGCGTTTACCTATCGGCTGTTCGGCTGCCAAATGCCAATTATGAATGATATAGAGTTTTTGTAGTTGTTGGAAATTCAATTAGCCACAATTCTAATACTAATCAATTTTCAATAAAATTTCCTTTTTTTCTAAAAAATATTGAATGAATGAATGAATGAACTTTATTTCATTAAATGTCCCATGATTTCTCTTGTTCATTTTAATATTAATTGGGAAATTGGTTTTTAGTCATCATTATTTTATCTTTTACACAATATAAATAAAATTAATTTTTATTTAGTGAGCCTTTCATTACAAGCATAGTCAGAGATTATTATTTCTTGGGCTTTGAGAAATACAAATATTATATTTTTATTGCTAAACAGCACAATAAAAAACTTTTTTTACATCTATAAATATTTCTTTGACTTTTCAACCATCTCTAAATTAATCAATCCTTTTCCCGCGAAATCATTGTTTGTTTTTCAATCCAGATTTTCATACCACTAAATATCATTCCCAAAATAGACAATGATTAATAAAAAAGCGTTCATTATGTAATAATAAATGATAGATTATATAACTAATTGCCATGTTTCAACATTTGTTGATCATTCATTATTAACAATCGGAAAAGCAACCAAAATCACGCCATCTCTCTCAATATTAGAAAAAGCTCCATCGATATTGGACGCATTATTATGTCATCAATATCTTTTGAAAAGTTATCAAATTACGTTTGACGGATCTTAGACACATTATTATGTCATCAATATTTTTCAAATGTAACCAAAATCACGTTTTGACACATTATTACGCAAAAAATTTCACTTGAAATTTTTTTTTTCAAAAATAATCGAATCGAATTTCTTTATTTTTAATTGTCAGAGTTTTATAAAATATAAAACTATAAAATTTCTTATTCACGTAATCTCGAGAACCTAAGATATAAACTGATATAATTTTTTTGCTGCATTTATTATTATTATGTAATTAATAGTGAACAGGACCACCGGATTCTGAATTTGATTAGTTATTCAAAAATTCACATCAACTATCGGACTGGACTGTTTCAAACACTGATTGATTTGAGTGTCCGATAATTTTTTCCAGGCACTGTATATGACTAATAAATTTATTATATTACATTGCCTTTTGAAACTCCGGAACTGTTTTCATTAAAAGTGTAAATTTTATATTTAATTTTTATCGCATGGCAAGGACGCGGAATCGATCTACTGTTATTATAGTCGCAGGACTTTGAACAACCATATCAAAGGTTTAAATCTTAATATTAAATGGTAAAACCTTTCGATTTTTATATACAGAGCTTATAAGAAAATTTTCATTTTCCATTTAAAAAGTGGCATCTAATATGATTGTCCAGAGACTTGTACATGCGGTTCAATTTAGGTAAGGGATAAAGCATCAAAGATTTATTTATTTATTTATTGACCTATATTAAAAGGAAATTCTACTGTACTGTATATTAATATTAACATATTATGTATTATGGTTGATATTTCCTATCGCTTGTGCTACCATTAAGGGCACCCAGTACAATACATCGTTGTTTGCTGTTTGGTCTGATTGATAATGGGATTGCCTGTTAACCACATTCAGTACAGCCAAGGAATATACTAAATACAGAATTCCCTTGTTGACCAATTCATATATGATTTCATTATAATAATCAAAAAAATAAAATAAAATACTATTGAACTTTCTCAGAAAATCTGCGAAAATCTGTTTATTTGTTTTTACTTAAATTTAAGGAAATTTATGCACCAGGAGTTCGGATTCGTTGACCTATAGTTGATAAAACACCAAACCTATTTTCTAGTACTTATTTGCTTCATTCACAGTGAGTGAAATATTCGAAATATTTAAAGAGCCAGTTGAAGATTATCGAAACTTTACAATTATTTCCATTTATATAAGGCATCACTAATAACAATGTTTTATTTTAATTGTATATAAAGTATGCTATTACTTAAATATATCGACAATTATTATATTAATTCATTCATTCATTTATATTGATTTCTTTATTACTGCTATAGTTTTAATAATATCAGAACCCGCTATTTTCTTTACTGCATATTAATGTTATTACACAACCTTATGTATATATATATTAAAATGGAAAATTTACGAATTAGATATTAAATTATTAATTTTTTTTAGATTAAATCGAAACACGAATATCAATATATGTAATATACAATAACAATCATTATAATTGGTATTGATTTTTTTCGGCAAGCTTGTAAAGCATTCAATAATACATGATTTTGGAAGTTGTATGACCATTTAAAGCTCTCTCCAAGTTTCATAAAACATTACATTTATTATTATTTTCAATGAAAGGAATTCCAAGTTTGGTGTATTCCCTGACTAGTAAACAAACAAATGTATTAGACAAATAAATATATTAATTAAATTAATTAAATTAATTAAATTTAAATATAAAAAATGACATCTGTCCGAAGAAAATCTTATTTAAAAAAGTTATTATATATATCCATTTTGGGAATAGTAACGATTTTCCAAATTAAAAACCCATAATTATCCGAGGTCCTAAATAGGTTATGATCGTCGGAGATTCTTAATTATGCTCCATATTCGAAGGTTTTTGGACATATTCGAATATTAATAGAACTATTTATTAAATGATTAGTTGGATTGATAGTAGTTATTTGCTATGTTTGCATATTTTTATTACATGTACCCTCTGGATGGTCTAGAGAAATTGGTGTCTTTACTTGACAAACCCAATCTGTGCCATTTTCGTCATCGTCAAAGTAATTCCAGGTAAAACCATCTTTAGGCCTTCCACGCATTTTAGGCTTTTTACAATGTGTATGTGATCCTATTGAAAGATTTGAGGAAGTCTCCGGAAGAAATCCAGAGATGATCCTGGAACTTATTTTTGCTGGGACGATACAATCAATAGCTTGCTGCGCATTAATAAAAAAAGTTCAGTGCATTGTAATACATCAATATTTGAAAATAATTCATAATATTCCTTAGGAAAATCAAGCTCAAAAAGCTCTGTTGAAACTTTCCAAAGGTTGGTTTTGCTGGAGACTGCCCCGATCAGTGTTGTCACAACACTGGCCCCGATATGTTATTATTATTATTATTTCTATCTATTATCTAAAGGCATTTAAAAAAAGGTTTTCCAAAAACAATATTTCAAGTTATGAATATTTGAAAGGATTACAAATATCCCAAGTGTTATGAATATTAAATGCCCTCATGCATTATGAATCAATAGAAATATATGCATATTTGAACATGATTACAATAAAAAAAAAATGGTTCGTCAAAAAATGTCAAGAATAAGAACTCTTAACAAATAAATTTCTTCAATCAGAGTAAAAAATAAGGCTATAATTGATTATGATTCATTCATTCATTCCTTATTTCAAGAATAACTCAGCAAAATTTGCTCTAATAGCTGTAGACAATGCAAAAAAGAAACAAGAACCCCCCAAAAAACTTTACGTGATTTACTTATCGTGCAGATTGGTAGATGGAATGATATTTTGTTTAATCAAACAAATTTAAAGAACCGTTAATGTAGAATTTTTTCATACTTTTTGAGCAATCAAACAAACAAAAAACAAAGCGAAGTTTGATTATTTGACTGATTCAAGAATATAAGATCAATTGCAGTATGAAAGTCAAAATAAGGTCAGTCATCACATTCACATCCATCTTTCAATAACAATTCAACATTTTAGTCTGATATGATATGCATTGATTATATCTTAGTGTGTTTACGATTTGTTTTCTGTTCCCTACTATTGATATACATTTTACATACACTCACCTCCCAAAAGTCATTAAAATTTTATCAATTTATTAACTACATGTGAAATTTTTACAGTATATTCCTGAATCATTTGTTTATGTTGTTATGCTTTTCATCGTTGAATAAAGAGTTACATGGAAGTTTTGTTATTGTGTTTGTTTCGAACTGTTAAAATTTTGATCGTCACATTTTTTTAAATGGAGGCTGTATGTGGTATTATTTTTTTAAATTCAGCAACATAGATTCATATGCCACATGCTTTTCATGATAGTTAATATGCTATGCATAGCAAAGAATAAAACTTTTAAAGCAATATATCAAATATGTGAAACGTTGGACCAAATTTGCATTCTATTTAAAGACTATCTGTAATATTCTTTTATTGTGTCTCACCTTTGTTAAATATCAAACATTTCTACGATCACGCTTTGCATAAAAAAAAAACTGATGTAATAGATTTTGAGGAATCATGATATAGACAATTAGCGAAATTAGCTTGTATATCTCCTGTAGACTGATGTGCATCACTTACTTCACATTATCTTAGTCTACCTTTGGATGGAGGTTTCCTTGATCCCATCATAGTTTTTTGGAATTTCTTGAATTTATTCTGTTGTCACTATAATATCAGACTTTAAAAAAAATATAAAAAGGGAAGCAACAGTTACACATATCTATTCATATTTGGGTTGTGGTAGCGCTTGTAAAATGTTTTCTACTAGCACTGGAATCAGAATCAATATCATTATACAAATTTGCCATTTTCATTATAAAATTGACACAAATAGAAGAACCGTTACAACTATCATATGATATCAATCGATTCCATGGAGCATTTTTTTTTGGAATTCATGAACATTAGATGTGATAAGGATTAAAAAAATAAAAATAAAGTCTGGTTCTGCTATTCAGCTATTATCAATTCCATTCTTGTCTAAAATCAACAGTTTCTTAAGAATAAATTATCCTCATATATGCTTATTATAGAAAAAAAATATAATAATTAATTGTATTTATTATGTTTATTTTTTATCAATTATTTGAAAAACTTCTAATTCATCAAATCTACTGCTATTTACTATATTGATGTTACTATAAGTTTTATTTGGGCGACTAATAACAGTAGCATCTGTACAAAAAAAAAAATCACAAGGAGTGCAACCAAAAACTGGCAAATAAGAAGAATGACACCAAATTGCGTGCTCATAATCATTATTAATAACATAACTGAATTGTGCAGTATTGATATAATTTCTATTACTAATATTAAAAATAAAACTTTCAGTTGTATTTTTATATACATAATTATTTCCATTCCAATTTAGTGGATTATAACCACCAACTATTTGCTCCGAGTTCTGTATTTTACCAACTGAAAGAGTTTTGTTGATATTATCACATTTTTGATGAAATGTATCTGCATCTAAACCATCTCTACTGCTTCGATATAGGAGTTTGAATTCATATTTGATTACCCTGAATGAAGTGTATGGTGGACTTTTTCTATCAATCCAACTTGCAAAAAGCAATGTAAGATTTTGATTGATTGTCAATGATTCAAGTGTTGAAGTTGTTAAAATTCTTGATGGTAATAAATTTAAGGCTGGTTGTTCATCAGGAAATAAATAAGATTGTAAAAGGTTATTCCATAAAACCTTGGGAAAAAGCATTTGATATGGTACAATATTACTAAAAAACTCTTTTTTAGAAATATCCTGAAATCTTATTAAAGGAATAAATTCTTTTAATGTGTTGCCTAAATCAACAAAGTTTTGTAATGACCAATCTTCAACATTGATATTATTGATTTCTGGGTGTTTTGCTATCCCCCATTTAAGAATGTTTTTCCAAATAACTATCTCATCAACAGAAAAATCATCTCTTTTGAGAATTTCCAATAAAATTGGTTTTTCCAACAATTCAAATTCATTTGACTGAAATAATTTTTCACTATATTTGCAAAACTTTTCCAAATAGATGTTTTTCAATTCATTAAAATTTTCATTAGCATAAATCAATTGTAGAATTTTAACTGGATTTTCTTTTATATAATTTTCATAATTTTCAATAAAATATTTCATTATATATTCATAAAGTGACTCAATACCAAATTCATCTGCTGCAGTTAATAGTTCTAATACTTCAACACCAGAATAATTTTCAAATTCAATTTTGCATGTATATAAAAATCTTAAAAAATAAATAAATTATTAAGCAGATTATTGGAATTCAAAACAATAAATAAATAAATTTATTTGAACTTACTTGAGAATAGGATTGAAAAGTTTTTCACTGATGTTGGTTTTCTTAACAATATAATAACCATTTTCTTTTGTTGTATTATTTAA